TGAATGTTATGAATGAATCATTACCATCCACACTCTTTACAGGAAACTAACCACAGATGTTTGTGTGAATAATCTATAAGATTCCTACGCTTCGTTTGTCATCTTTCTTAATCTTCTTTATATACTTTTCTTTTATGCATTCTCTGCATTGAACTTAATCTGAGAGCTCGAATGGAGGAAGAATATCATTCTTAACTTGTCTTTCTATTCTCCCCCTCGAAATATGGCCTAAACGACAGTGCCATAATTTCGACAACGCATTGTGAGCTCTCTTATGCTACCTTTTCTAGATTAACACTCTGTGACCAGCTGCTTTATCAGCTAAGTGGCATATGTCTTTGAAGAGCCAGTGAACTGACTCTTTATTCTATCGAGGTACTCAGTGACCGTGTCACATTCTGGAATTGAGCCCACAATTGCAGGTTTAATCATGTTCTTTATCATAGCCAAACTTTTTCGTGTTGGTAGTGATTCATTTCCTATGCCCAAGGAGTCATAGGATATCTTTTGAGATTTAAAATCCCTTTCTTTAGTTGCCCAAGTGGCATCATTCTCTTTTGTCTCCCTCATCGGTGCCACAAACTCAGTGGAACACGGTGAGGTGACTACCCAGTCCACCTTAGACAAGATGAAAACCAGGTCAAAATTTTTCTTAACATAAAAATAACACCATTTACATGCCTTGATTCCAACGTTGGTCAAAAACAAAACATACAATTATTCTTATACACTAATTCTACATCACCGTTGAGCAGAAATAGAATTAATGCATAAATCTTTAACTTTATCAACTTTTCTTATACACTAATTCTACATCACCGTTGAGCAGAAGTAGAAATAATGCATAAATCATTAACATTATCAACTTTTCTTATACACTAATTCTACGTCACCGTTGGGCAGAAGTAGAATTAATGCATAAATCATTAGCATTACGATATTGTTATTAACAACGTTGGTCAGAAAATAACAACATCATAATCATGTCAAAACTCTTTTTCTCCAATTAAATACCACATTGGTTCAAAATAATTGTAGAATCAACATTTTCTTTAGCAGCGGAAAAAATCTCTTTTTCTCCAATTAAATACCATATTGGTTCAAAATAACTGGAGTATAAACAACTTTTCTTTGGCTGTGGAAAAACTCTCTTTTTCTTGAATTTTACCCACAGGGAAAATTGCTTTTTCTATTTTCTTTAATCCATTAATCAATTTTCAGGAAATAAACATTTACCGGAAAAATCTTCCTTTTCTCCAGTTAAATATCATGTCGGTTCAAAAACACTGGAGAATATACTTTTTCTTTAACAGTGAAAAAAATATTCTCAATTTCTTGAATTTTCCCACAGGGAAAAATTACTTTTTCTATTTCTCTTTTTGAGCTATTTTTCATTTTCCAGAAATAAATATTTGCTGGAAATAGAAAAAAAGGAAAAACTCATTCTTTTTCTCAGATCTTTGCTCTTTCGGCCCAAAACGGCAGCGGCCCACGGCCCACGCCTTGGCGATGGGCGCTTCCCGCTGCTTCTCCCAGCCCTTGGGGACTGCCCACACCTCCCTTTCAAGGTGAAAGCCGGCCCGAGTGAATCAAGGCCGTCGTCGTCTGCATCCACTGGCCGAGCGGCGAGATCGGAAGTGATATAATGAATTGCGTCGTCGTCATTTGTGAGTCCTGGAACCCTAAGCTCATTTCTTTTTTGCTTTCTCTCTCTTCTTCGCCTCTCTCTCTCTCTCTACCTCACAGGAATGAGGCGAAGCGCAAGCGAGCGAAAATGAAAGCGGAAGCGAGCATCCATGGCGCCGCCGCCCGGCCCCTCGCTGGGCGGCGGCGCGCCCTGATGGTGAGCGCCCGCCGTCGAGCTGGCCCTGCTGCCCCCCTTTGGCCTCGCTCTTCTCCCGCGCCGAAAAAGGGGCGGCTCGGCTCTTCTTCAGCAGGCCGGCAAAGGGCGGTCGGGGTGGGTTTCTTCTCCCTTCCCTTTCTCATTCTCCTATTTCTTTTTGATTTGGTTCTTCTCTCATCCGAACTGATGTGGGGAATAGGGTTAGGGTTAGGGTTCGTGTGCCGACCCTGTTCTTTTCCCCTTCCCCTTTCGGATTTGAATCTTGTTCCTCTTTTCCGAACTGGTTATAGATCTAGGGTTCGGAATCCGACCTGTCATCTTTTCTGTTTTGTCTTTTCTTTCTTTTCTTTTGCTTTCATCCGAATGGGAAACTAGGGTTAGGGTTAGGGTTCCGACCCTTCTTTTCTTCTTTCTTTGAATTTTTCTTTCTTTTCTTTTATTTCTTTTCTCTTTTGGATTTATGGTTTGGCTCTGTTCGTCTTAAGGCCGAAACCTTTCTTTTCCCCCTTCCTTTAACCCAATTAGGGTTAGGGTTAGGGAGTGTTCGGTTCTTTTCTGTTCTTGCCGTGCGCCGGTGTAGAACAGCGGTGCGGCCATCTTTCCCCCCGCGCGGTGGCGGTGGATTTTCTTTCTTCTTTTACCCGATTAGGGTTAGGGTTACACACTTGTAACCTGGCTCCGATACCATTGTTAGAAACGTAGATCCATAGTTAGGCTCCTCGACCTTGTGGAGCTTCACCGCAGTGGCAGCGTGGACGCCGATGCCGCCCTGGATGCAGCCTCACGGACGCCAGTGCCGAGGCAGCTCCGACTCGATGGTGAGGTACAGTGGTGGTGGCGGAGACCCAATCCAGTGGCGCCGGCGGTGTCCCTGCATAGGCGACGGCGGTGGTGGCGGCGGGCTCATCCCGTCGCTGGCAGCACGCTTTAGGATCGGATTAGGGTTTCTCTGTAGGTGGATGGTGGCTCCGTTGAACCTCGTCATTCGAGCCCTCACCCTCACCTTTCTTTTATGTGTGCTGTGCGACAGGGGCCCACCAACCGGATTAGGGTTGGCCTCCCCCGATCAGGAAGCAGAGATAAGGGCCCAATAGGCCGTTGGGCCTATTGGTGGAGATCAACTAACAGGCCCAACTCATAATATTTCCTGAGGGTTCCTGACATTCTCCCCCCCCCCCCTTAAAACACGGCTTGTCCCCAAGCCGTTGCTGTAGTAAACCACCGGGATCCCATGAACATGTTTCTCTCTGATGTTGAATGATACCTGGTAAGCACCATTTTTGGTCAGTGGCAATCCATGTCAGTGCTCGGTATTGTATATGTCTCTGAAACACCAGCTGGGCACATTCTGGAAAGTTACACCATTTGATCGGTATTGCAGCTTGAACACAAAGAATGTTCAGAGCTAGAACTGTGGCTTGGAGGTTGTGAAGGGATCCACCAGGATCCCATAAGGTCACTCGTTGATCCTTGATAATGTTAGTCCAGAGTACACCACTAAACTTCTGCTGCAACCGGACTAGAAATTTCAGAAAAGGAAGCACTTGTCTCTGACCTGAAATCAGAATTCCTTGCTTGGTGCCAAGTAAATGCTTGAATAGTGCACAGCTGCTTCGTTGTCTAAAGGAAGACTTTATCCAATCACAAGGCCTATTCACATTTACAGCATGGGCATCAGTATGTCCTTGAAGTGATATCCATTGAGCAATCTCCCAAAGATCAGTGAATGATATGTTATCAAATGGCAATAGTTCTCCATCCGATGAAAGGGTCTCCAAAATCCACGACTCAAATGCCAAAGTAGAGATATACTAATTTGTCTTAGTGAAATGCCAAAGCTGATGCTGATTGGTTTCATTAGCAATCACTCTGTGACTCACATAATGTACCAACATAAATTGATATGAAGATGGTAGTAGAGACATCTCCAGAACCTTCGCTGCCATATTGCCTTGCATGGCTGTTTGTAACAGTTGAATCCTTGTATGCCGCAACACCGCAATGGAGTGATGAACTTGTTGGCCCACAGGATTACCGGCTCAGGCGAGTGAACCACTCAGCCGATCTTGCCGAGCACCCGCTAGTGTTGCCGAGCACCCACTAGCCGTGCCGACCACGAGTAGGCGTTGTCCGTGCCACGCACTACGACCAGAGCTAGAAGAAGAAGGGAGAACAGAGCAAGCACGCACAATACAAGACACCGGCGTTGACCGAAGCCCTGTCTGTGTGATGGCAAATCTGAACTCTCTTTACTGAGTTGCCGTAGTGGTCTATTTATACAACTCTATCTATCTAGTTATAGTACAGCTCACATGTTGTAACAGTAACTAGATAACATACAGGGTTGACTCTGCGCCGGCCACTGCATGTCTACAGTGCTGCAGGTGAGCAGTGCGGCGCCTGCACCTGCAGCGCTACAGTGTCACAGCAAGGGGCCAGTTCGGCGCTGTCTTCCCTTGCTGTGTTCACACAAGAAATACGGTGGATTAACTAACAATCTTTCCCTAATCCTACTGCTAAACCTTGTACCCCCTCCATGCCGATCATCTCTTTCAGCTCCGTGAGTCGAAGTCGTCCGAGCGGCTTGGTGAGGACGTCCACGAGCTGCCGACCAGTTTCGACGAACTCGATAACGATCTGCCCTCCATCAACACAGTCCCTGAGAAAGTGGAACTTCACGTCGATGTGTTTACTCCGGTCGTGCAGAACTGGATTCTTCGCAAGGGCGATGGCGGGCTGGTTGTCCACCATCAGTGCTGGTGGGTGAGCTTCCACACCCGTCAGCTCGCCCAGCAGCCGGCATAGCCACACAACTTGGCACGCCACTGTGGCTGCCACTACATACTCTGCCTCGCACGTAGATAGTGCCACCACCTTCTATTTCAACGATAGCCATGAAATTGGGGCCGATCCGAGGAAGATGAGCCCCTTGCTGTGTGGGAGGAGGACGTGGACGCCACCTTCTTCGACGCCGACGAGTACGTGCGCATCGTCCAGAAGCACGGGCTGGAGATCTCGCAGCCGGCGCTGGACATCACCAGGGGGGGGGGTGCACACTTACGATGTCACCGTCCGGAGGACCAGCAGCGAGGTGCACCGCAGCAGCTGCGGCCCCGGCGAGGAGCGGCGCCGGCCGTGCAGCGGGTTCGTGGAGGTGATGGCGCCGCTGTTCGGGCGGGAGGCGTGGGCGTGCGTGTGGCGCATGGTGCAGAACGACCTCGTCCATGGGTGGGGGCTGGACTGGAACTTCTGGAGGTGCGTGGACGATCCTGAGGCGCAGATCGGTGTGGTAGACGCGCAGTTCGTGGTGCACCGCGGCGTTGCCACGCTGCTCGCCCAGGGCAAGGCGGAGGACGGCGGCGGGGTCAGGGAGCGCCAGTGGGCCGAGTTCCACGCATTCACATGGAGACTGCAAGACGTTGAAGAGAAGGCCCACTAGGCCGCTCTGCCTTCTGTTAAAGTCAAAGAGAAGGCCCAGGCACAATCAGAAGCACCACCGCCACGAGATGGATGACCTGTATACCTACCTCACCAAAAGTTCGGTCTGAGCTGGGCCGACTTGATTCAGGCCTAAAATTCGTGACTAGGACCGCCTAGTGGGTAGGTTCAGGCCTCACATTTCAGGCCGGGCAACCCACGAGTTTTTTGTGTAAAAAATAAATAAATGAAATTAATGTTTCGGGTCCGGTTTGGACCGAGAATTTTTTTTTCTGCTGGCTAAACCTCTCTGCCCAGACCACAGGCCCTGTCCAATAAGGATATCGGCGGGCTCATGCCGGACTGAGCCGCTGGTTTTGCTCAGATCTATCCTCACCAATCTTCTCATTGTCACAGATGGCAAATGTAGACCCTGTTATAAAATATATTGCCAGCGACCGGTTAGGACATTTCCCTTTACGTCTTACGGGTCCAATATTATAGATAAAAGTAGAAGAGCCCATAGATATAAGATAGAAAGACTATTCTTTATTCTCTGAATATTGATGATTACAACGTAGAGCTCCCACGTATATATGGTCCTACCAAGATCTAAGCGTTTGGTAAAAGGCCACATACAAACAGACTAGGATTAGAATTCCTTCTTCTTCTTTCCTTGTATGATAGAGTCCTAATGTTTTACTTCACTCCACTGTCTATACATCCCTGACTCCCACACCTTTTCTTTCGTCTCTGACTTCCACTCTTTTCACTTTTACGGGCGGCAAACATAGACGACCCATGCACGGAAAAAAGGTTCGAGGCTACCGGTAGCAAGCGTAGATCCATGACAGAAGCTGCAAAACATTTGCTGACGCGACAAGTATGAGCCCGTGCCACGACGCATTTGTAAGCATGTGGCTTGTCTTCTAGCTTTTTTAACCTCACAATAGGTGTGCATAATATAGCCCCGTTTAAACCGAGGCAATCCCCATTCAATTTACCACACGAGATTATTCTTTTTCACATAAAATTTACTGTTTATTTGATTTAGTTGAAACATGTTTGGACCAAATCCACTTAAATAAATTCAACAAAAATAGCTAGCTCAATGTCATTAGCACACCCCGATCCAAGTGACTGTATATAAGTTCTATGATCTATCTTTGCAAATGTGTGAGCCTTTGTATATTTCAAGATAGTGTGTTTTATTTATTAGTAGGAATTACTGGCCTCACATGAGTATGGACCACATGTTGAATACTTGAACCGGCTTGTATTTTGGATAAAAAATGAGTATTTCCCTGAGGCCCTGTTTGGTTCCAAAGAATTGAGAGGAGTTGAAAAATAATCTAATATATAATAAAACGAGAAGCACTTTTGGGATCCAGACAGTCTGCCAGTCATATTAAATCTATATATATGCTCTTCGTATCCAGAAAACCTATATATATATATATATATATATATATATATATATATATATATATAGTATTTCTATATTGTACCCAGGTGCAGAATAATATTCAGGACCCGAGCCCATCCAGCGGCAGCGCGCCCATCCCTCCATGGTCCACGCCCGTCCCGACTCCCAAGTCCCGAGCCGACAAGCCCCCAGCGCTGGTTTTCTTTTTTCTCGCGTACCCACCGATCCATTCACCGCTCCTCATCCATTCCTTTTTTCCAAAAAAAAATCTTTCCCTTTTTTCGTTTCAGATCTCCCTGTGTCGGCCGTGTCCTCATGGCTCGTGGGTGCACGGTTACTTCTGGCCCTGACGCCCGAGCTCTGGTTGTTGCCGCCGTCCTCCTGCTTTGTTGCTTCGCCGCCGCCAAGGGCCCTCCTGGTGCCGTCTCCCTCTCCCATCCCCTCACTCTCTCAGCTCGCCATCGCTACTGGCCGTGGCCGTGGTCTTGAAGGCCCCAGTTGAGGGTCGGCACCAACAGTTGATGCCGGGTTCGGCACAGGCGAGCTCGCCGCACCTGTGGCGGCCGTCCTACTCGCATCTTGCCATCATCAGCAGCCTTCCGTGCTTGTCCGTGACTCATCGTCAGCTCCCGCCGCGAACTCACGGAGAAAGGAGTGGCAACTCGCCTGGCGATGCTGTCGCCGCCGTCAGCCTACCGCCACCGCCGCTCCTGCGTGTGCTCCTCCAACACTGCTGTCAGATCCAGGTACCCCTCCTCCAGATCCCCTTCTCCAGCTCCTCGTTTGCACCATCTCCTTCCCGTTCCCCTTCTTGATTCGATTTGATGATTCGAGTGCAGGATGCGTTCCCTGCGAGTGTTCGATTGTCTCGGCCCAGGTCGCGGCCAGGAGCTCCTCTTCAATTGCAGCAAGGTGAGTTTGTCTCAGCTGCCAATGCTGGTTGTGTAACTTTTAGTCTTTTACCAATACCAATTGTGTTGTGTAACAGTGTATTCATTTGGAAACGCCTCTCGAGGGATGTCGTTGCGCAGCCCTGGCCTGCAACCCGGCCTCCTACACGTGAGGTAAGGCCAGCCTTCAGTCCTTGTTATTGTAATTGTGCATCGATTTGCTGACTGAGCGAGGAAGCTTGTCAATTCTAATCCATTCAGAGAGAGCTGGTGGTATCTCACCACTGTTTTGTTAGCTGAGGGAGACCAGTTCCAGTAACTAGATATTTATGTACTATTTTTTAAGGAATTGATTACTTTTATTTGTGAAGATGAATACCTGTTCAGATATGCAAAATATTATTATTCAGAGATGATCACCGTTGATACAAATTATTTATGGTTAGGAAATCAACACGTGATGCTAGAGTGCATAGCATTTAAGTTTTTGTGGTCACACGTGACAGTATTAGTGGTCAGGCCACATTGGTAGCATATAATAGAGGGTTTTTTTTTCAGTTGAACACATAATCAGCATAATTTAAGTTGTGACTACACCGTCCACGATTTTTTTGGCTTTCCTACCCGGTCCGCTAGCTTGATCTCCCCCTCCCACCCTGCTGCTCTCTCTTTTTGCCCCGAATCTGTTGGGATGGGAAACCTCTGGTTTGGGATGACCCAGCGTGTCGAAACTGGGGTTCACATAGGCAACATTGCGACTAGATTGGATTTATTAGAGAATGTCTTCCTCTGCGTAGGGGAAAATGTTCAAAATAAAAAAATTCCCCCATTGGTTTAGAATAGCTAGTGGCAGTTGATTTTATGATTTACCAGTTGATTGTTACAGTTCTTTATCAAAATGCGCTAGTGCTATGTCGTGCTATGTCTTTTCAAAGCTGTGTAAATGTATTTTCACATAATATCATACAGTAATTGATTTGTTGTTTAAATTTACAGGTTTATTAGCTCTTGGATAGTTGAATCTTAGTCAATTGGTGTATGTTGAATTAATGAATTATATGAAGGCGCCGCTAGCTTGCTATGGATGACTGCTTTTTAATAGTAGGTACCATCTTCATTCTTTAAGAGATTAAATTTGTCATATATTATCCATTTGTGTGGGATATCAATGAGAATGTGATGTGCGTATGTGATTTTTTTTATAATATTAGTTATGTGTTCACGTTCTGCCCCAGCTAAATTTTGGTTGAGCTCCGCCCTGCTATGCATCCTCCTCAATGAAGATGACGGTGGCACGTTGCCTTGTCGTCGCCGGACGCAGTATGTGGCAGCAGGTGCTGGGTGTTGGCAAAGCTTGGGGGCTATGCTGGCCCGCTCCACGTCAACCCGTCCACGCTAGCCGTGCCTGATAGTCATGGCAAGAACCCGAATGCAGCTCTTCCCTGCAGGTAGTTTTCTTCTGCCTCTGTTTTCTTCCACTAAATTGCAGCCACCAATCAGTGATATTTTGTGTGACTAAAACTAACCGAGTTAATTTGCATCTTCCAATTCTGGTCCAGAGGCTGCTCTTGACCAAATTGGATTTACCTTTAATATTCACTTTGAAGATATTGTTGGCAATTTCAACTTAACTAGCTGCTTCACCTCGCGAATCAAACTGTATGCTCATAGGATTTCTGAGTTAAGCAAATTGATTATTCCAGTCCAAAAATTAGGTTCAGTAATTCTTTGCTCACTAAGCTGCTGCGTGGTGCTTCCCTCACCAGCAGCCTTGACCTAGCAAGATCCCGATGAGGCACGCACAATCCTTCTAATCTTTCTTTGGATTTGGATTAGGCTAATTTTAGGCTTATCTTATAGATTGTGAATTCTTTGCACCGTCATTTCTCCGGCTGCTGGTGTTGTACTATACAGGGCATTCCCAGAGTTGAGCACGAAGTCCTTAATACCCTTATTATCCTATTGGCTTGGGAAATATTGAAGCACCGAAATGCTTTTGTGTTTGATGGTGATTGGCCTAACATAGAGGTGCTGCTTCATTGGGTTGCCAATGAAGGTGCCCTGTGGTGCTTGGCAGGGGCATCCGCGTTGCATGGGCTTTTGGCTAGGTCGCTCGTCGTAGATCATTAATGAGTTGAGTCTTTTCTTTTTGGTCGGGGTTGTATGTACTAGGAGGGTTTAACCTCCCCTCCTTTATGTTCTTTTTCTTAATGAAATGACACACAGCTCTCTTGCGTTGTTCGAGAAAAAAAATTCACAACAATTTAGTAGTAACTAATTATTTGTGTTCATAGGACATTATTTGTGATTAGACTATATGGTGGGGTTACACCCTGTCCACGTAAATAGAATTCAGGGTTCTTGCTTGCGGCACTGCCTAAATCTAAATGTTTTTTGCATTTATAATATGCCTGGGTTTCTTCCTCTTTATTTAGAGCACACACTTCTGTCATTTCAGTATTGATCCATTTTCTGCTAAAACCTCATAGCCAATTGAACCATGCAATGGTTTTCATGCAGCTCAACTTCAGTTACCAGATTGAATAACAATGGTTACCAGATTGAATAACAATGGATACCAGATAACTAGGGGAAAGGTCATTTGAAACCACATTTATTTAAATTGAAACATTTCACATTCACCTTTCAATGTTGCTCCTATGGTAACATGACATTATAACATTCAGGAGCTCAATTGATTAGCAG